TGGCCAAGGAGTCTGACCAGCTTGGCCAACACAGTGAAACCCTGTCTCTATTAAAACACAAAAATTAGCTAGCTGTGGTGGCCCCGGCCTGTGGTCCCAGTTTACCCGGGAGGCTGAGGCATGAGAATCACCTGAGCCCAGGGGACGACAGAGTGAGACTGTCTCAAAAAAAAAAAAAAAAAAAAAAAACCCAACAAAAAATAACAACAAAAAAAAACTTGGCTCCCACCTCTCGGCATATACAAAAAATCAAATAAAAATGGATTAAAGATTTAAATCTAAGACCTCAAACTATGAACAGAAAACATAAGGAAACTGTCCAGGACACTGGCTGAGCAAAGATTTTACAGCAGAGTGTCAAGTGATTATTCTCTGCTTTCTTCTCATGTGAAATGTTCAGAAGAGAAAATATTTTTTAAAAAGCCACTCATGGCCGGGCGCGGTGGCTCACGCCTGTAATCCCAACACTTTGGGAGGCCGAGGCGGGAGGATCCCAAGATCAGGAGATCGAGACCATCCTGGCGAACAGCGTGAAACCCCCTCTCTACAAAAAATACCAACAATTAGCCGGGCGTGGTGGCACGCGCCTGTGGTCCCAGCTACTTAGGAGGCTGAGGCAGGAGTATCGCTTGAACCCGGGAGGCGCAGGTGGCTGTGAGCCAAGATCACGCCATTGCACTCCAGTCTGGGAGAGAGAGCTAGACTTCATCTCAAAAAAAAAAAAAAAAAAAAAAAAAAAAAAAAAAGCCCATTCACTGAACTGTGAAAAAAACAAAAAAGAACCACTAAAATCTTGAATCTGTTTGAAAAGCAAATAAAGGATAAATAGGCCGGGCACAGTGGCTCACGCCTGTAATCCCAGCACTTTGGGAGGCCGAGGGGGGTGGATCATGAGGTCAGGAGTTTGAGACCAGCCCGGCTAACACGGTGAAACCCTGTCTCTACTAAAAATACAAAAATTAGCCTGGCGTGGTGGCGCCTGCCTGTAGTCCCAGCTACTCCGGAGGCTGAGGCAGGAGAATCGCTTGAACCTGGGAGGTGGCGGTTGCAGTGAGCCGAGACTGTGCCACTGCACTTCAGCTTTGGCATTGGGCAACAGAGTGAGATTTCATCTCACAAAAAAAAAAAAAAAAAGGACAAATAGTTGATAATGTTGTGCTTGGAGAGAGGAAGTTAGCATTTGGGAATGTAGAAAAGAAACTGGAGGTGGGGCGCAGTGGCTCAAGCTTGTAATCCCAGCACTTTGGGAGGCCGAGGAGGGGGGATCACGAGGTCAGAAGTTCCAGACCAGCTTGGCCAACATAGTGAAACCCCGTCTCTACTAAAAATACAAAAAATTAGCTGGGTGTGGTGGTGTGCACCTGTAATCGCAGCTACTCGAGAGGCTGAGGCAGGAGAATCGTGTGAACCCGGGAGGCGGAGGTTGCAGTAAGCCGAGATCCCGCCACTGCACTCCAGCCTGGGCAACAGTGGTAGACATCGTCTCAAAAAAAAAAAAAAAAAAAAAAAGAAAGAAAGAAAAGAAAAGAAAAACGAAACTGGAAGCAAGATTTCCTTCAGGCTAGGCCGGGCGCGGTGGCTCAAGCCTGTAATCCGAGCACTTTGGGAGGCCGAGACGGGTGGATCACGAGGTCAGGAGATCGAGACCATCCTGGCGAACACAGTGAAACCCCGTCTCTACTAAAACTACAAAAAAACTAGCCGGGCGAGGTGGCGGCGCCTGTAGTCCCAGCTACTTGGGAGGCTGAGGCAGGAGAATGGCGGGAACCCGGGAGGCGGAGCTTGCAGTGAGCTGAGATCCGGCCACTGCACTCCAGCCTGGGCGACAGAGCGAGACTCCGTCTCAAAAAAAAAAAAAAAAAAAAAAAAAAAAGATTTCCTTCAGGCTTTAAAACAGGCTGGGGGAACAGAGTCCTGGATTTGAGGTCCTGCTTGCCATACATTTGAAAAATGCGCACTTTGGGAGGCCGAGACGGGCAGATCACAAGGTCAGGAGATCGAGACCATCCTGGTGAACACAGTGAAACCCCGTCTCTACTAAAACTACAAAATACTAGCCGGGCGAGGTGGCGGGCGCCTGTAGTCCCAGCTACTCGGGAGGCTGAGGCAGGAGAATGGCGTGAACCCGGGAGGCGGAGCTTGCAGTGAGCTGAGATCCGGCCACTGCACTCCAGCCTGGGCAACAGAGCGAGACTCTGTCTCAAAAAAAAAGAAAAAAGAAAAAAAAAAGAAAAATGCTGGGAAAACCAGTTCCCCTGTGAAGTGTTAGAATAATTAAATGGCAGGCAATTAGACTGAGTGGCTTGGATGTCCTGGGATTCTATCTAAGGAATCCTAGCTAACTTAAATAAATTTCTTATAAATTGCAAACTTGGAGAAAAACAAAACGTAGGCTTAACTACCACCAAATGCTAATAAATCTTATTACAGGCGGGCGCCAGTAGTCCCAGCTACTGGGGAGGCTGAGGCAGGAGAATGGCGTAAACGCGGGAGGCGGAGCTTACAGCAAGTCCAGATCGCACCACCGCACTCCAGACTGGGCGACAGAGGGAGACTCCGTCTTTTAAAAAAAAAAAAAAAGAGGAGAAAGGAACCCACAGACTACAGCTCCTCCCACTTGTCAGGCCTCTGAGCCCAAGCCAAGCCATGGCATCCCCTGTGACTTGCACGTATAGGCCCAGTGGCCTGAAGTAACTGAAGAATCACAAAAGAAGTGCAAATGCCCTGCCTCGCCTTAACCGATGACATTCCACCACAAAAAAAGTGAAAATGGCCGGTCCTCGCCTTAAGCGATGATACTATCTTGTGAAATTCCTTTTCCTGGCTCATCCTGGCTCCGAAAGCTCCCCCACTGAGCACCTTGTGACCCCCCCTCCTGCGCACCAGAGAACACCCCCTTTGACTGTAATGTTCCTTTACCTTATAAAACGGCCCGCCCTTCTCTCCCTGCGCTGACTCTCTTCGGACTCAGCCCGCTTGCACCCAGGTGATTAAAAAGCTTTATCGCTCACACAAAGCCTGTTTGGTGGTCTCTTCACAGGGACGCGCATGACACCACTCAGGAACCTTTCACCGCAGTGGGGACTCTCCCGACAACCCCACCGCCATCAAGGCACAATCCAGGGAAGAGCGGGCTGCGGGCGCGGGGCTGCCCCGGGAGGGCTCTGGGCCGGGCGGAAGTCACCAGGCAGAGACCGGACAGTCACTCAGCGGCCGGAATCCCGCTGCCGGCCCAGCCCCTACCAGCGCGGACGGGACTGAGGGCCGCGCACTCCGGAGCCCACCGCGGGGAGGCCGGGGGTCGCCAGCGCTGGTTCCAGCCAATTCCCGCCGATTCCAGTCAGACCCCTCTCCCTTCTCGGGACACCCTGCCCCGCACACTCACCATTTCCCAGCTTTTGGGTGTCCCGCCGGCCTCCCTATAAATCTCGCAGTACCTGCAGGCCACAGGGCGACAGGGCCTGCAGCGGTCACGGGGACTCTCCGGAAGGCAGCAAACGCGAGCCCAGCACCCCGTTAGCCGCAAGGAGACAAAGGCCCCGCCAGATCCCCAAGGCCGCCCCTTCCTCTCTGGCTGCACGCCTGATTGGACAGTTCTCACGCTGGCGCCGCTGATTGGATGGAGCTCCAGGCCCCGCCCCCTCAGGTCTTGAGAGACAGGAAGGGCGATCAGACACTGGGCGGAAAGAAACCAGAGTGACAGGTTTTGGGGTGCAGGCCTTTTGGGGCGACATTCCTCACGGCACTGAGACCTGGACGGACCTGCCTGGGTGATATTCGCATTTAACCTTGTATGTAACATTATATCCATTTATAAGTTTTATACACACACACACACGCACATATATATTTCACAGATTGAAACAATATATAATAATTAAAGTTTCCGATTTCATAACCTTCCCGGCCTCTGGTCTTTTGACCAAGCAGCCCGAGCTGTGGAAAGTGAGGCAATCCTCTCAGGCAGCAACGTGCAGTATAAATAAAACGTGAGCCACGCGTGTCATTTAAAGTTTTCTAAGATAGGCCGGGCGCGGTGGCTCACGCCTGTAATCCCAGCACTTTGGGAGGCCGAGACGGGCGGATCACGAGGTCAGGAGATCGAGACCATCCTGGCTAACACGGTGAAACTCCGTCTCTACTAAAAATATTAAAAAATTAGCCGGGCGTGGTGGCGGCGCCTGTGGTCCCAGCTACTGGGAGGCTGAGGCAGGAGAATGGTGTGAACCCGGGAGGCGGAGCTTGCAGTGAGCTGAGACCCGGCCACTGCACTCCAGCCTGGGCGACAGAGCGAGACTCCGTCCGAAAAAAAAAAAAAAAATTTTTTTTCTAGGATCTGGCGGGTCGCTGTGGCTCACGCCTGTAATCCCAGCACTTGGGGAGGCCGAGGCAGGAGGATCACCTGAGGCCAGGAGTTCAAGACCAGCCCGGCCAATATGGCAAAACCCGGTCTCTGCTAAAAATAAAAAAATAAAAAAAAAAAAAAAATTAGCCAGGAGTGGTGGCGATCGCCTGTAATCCCAGCTGCTCGGGAGGCTGAGGCAGGAGAATCGAGTGAGCCGGGGAAGTGGAGGTTACAGTGAGCCGAGATTGCGTCATTGCACTCCAGCTTGGTTAATAAGAGCAAAACTCCGTCTCAAAAAAAAAAAAAAAGATCAGCTGTGAAGACATTTCCTCCTGCAGAAATTTAGCCAAACAGCTGAGTATGTCTTGAAGTCACTCTTTGTTTTTTTGTTTTTTGTTTTTTAACAGGGCAAAGCTATTTTCTAAGACTTAAACCCCGAACTGGCCATGGGGCAGACTCTCACAGCACACATGGAATTCCTGCCCGGTTAATGCATCTCTTACCTTAAACCAGCGGTTGCTACTAATTTTGTTTCTGATTCAGCCCAGTTCTACAACTGCCTGCTATGCACAGGGCACAGTACTAGCTGTCCTGGCCTTAGGGTTAGGGTTAGGGTTAGGGTAGGACTTGGCCAGAAAACAGTTGCACCCCCCCCAAATTGAAACTATTCCGCTTTCCAAATTGGAGTAAAACTAAAACTGAAAAGACCTGGGGGGTTACCCAAGGGTTACAACATGAATAAATCGCTCAGAATATTCAAAGCCATTTGATGGTGTCATGGGTGAGTGTGTCTCACTTCAAACAAAATAAAACACTACTGTTATTCTGAGATTCCAAGTTAGGATTTATGTAAAAATATATAATTTTTTTTGATATATAACACACATACAAAAAAAATACAAAACATTCACGTAAAGCTCTGTGTGTTATTACAAAGCAAATACAGTTGTGTAACCAAGAAATAGAACCAGCATCACTCATGTCCCAACAACTATCTCCCTCCCTTGTCTACTTCCCAAGTGGTAAGATTTTTTTTTTTTGAGACCAAGTCTCTCTCTTATCCCCCAGGCTGGAGTGCAATGGTGCGATCTCAGCTCACTGCAACGTCCGCCTCCCAGGCTCAAGCGATTCTCCTGCCTCAGCCTCCCGAGTAGCTGGGACTACAGGCGCCTGCCACCACGCCCGGCTAATTTTTTTATTTTTAGTAGAGACGGGGTTTCACCATGTTGGCCAGGCTGGTCTCGAACTCCTGACCTCGTGATCCACCCACCTCAACCTCCCAAAGTGCTGGGATTACAGGTGTGAGCCACTGTGCCCGGCTGCATCTGATTTGCTCATGTGATTTTGCATCCTGCTCCTTTCCTGAATGTATTTATTAGTTCAAACAGTTTATTGCTGTGTTCTAGTGTTTTTTGTGTTTTTTTTTAACATATAAGATTATGTTGGGGCAGGGCTCAGTGGCTCATGCCTCTAATCCCAGCACTTTGGGAGGCTGAGGCAGGAGGATCACCCAAGCCCAGGAGTTTGAGGCCAGCCTGGGCAACATGGCAAAAAACCCATCTCTACAAAAAATGAAAAAGTTAGTTGAGTGTGGTGGTGCCCACCTGTAGTCCCAGCTACTCGAGAGACTGAGGTGGGAGGATCACTTGAGCCCTGGAAGTGGAGGTTGCAATGAGCCAAGATCATGCCACTGTACTCCAGCCTGGGCAGGAGAGCAAGACTCTGTCTCAAGGCGGGGGGAAAAGAAAGAAAAGATGTCATTCACAAATAGCAACATTTTTACTCCTCCTTTCCAAGTCAGAGAGCTTTTTTAAAAATTGCCTAATTACTGTAGTGCAAATTTTCAGTAATATATTAAAATAGACATATTGAGAGTGGGCACCGTGTAGCCTTGTGTGGGTATCTGGATGCTTGAAGGAGCAAACATCTCCAGTTTTTATAAACTAGTTTTATCAGGTAAAGATCTCTTGCAGGGTCCTTGGGCTGATAGGATCTCCTCTTGAATTGCACAAAAGAGAGGTTATAGCTGGATCACAAGGCTGCTGCTGGGTCTACAGTGGGGTCTGCCTTTGGTGTGCCTATTACCAGGGACTTGGGAAGTCAAGGATCCCGTCTGGTCCCTGGGCAGACTGGATTGCCTTAAGAACTTTGATTTTTTTTTTTTTTTTTTTTTTGAGACGGAGTCTCGCTCTGTCGCCCAGCCTGGAGTGCAATGGCCGGATCTCAGCTCACTGCAAGCTCCACCTCCCGGGTTTACGCCATTCTCCTGCCTCAGCCTCCCGAGTAGCTGGGACTACAGGCGCCCACCACCTCTCCCGGCTAGTTTTTTGTATTTTTTAGTAGAGACGGGGTTTCACCGTGTTAGCCAGGATGGTCTTGATCTCCTGACCTCGTGATCCGCCCGTCTCGGCCTCCCAAAGTGCTGGGATTACAGGCTTGAGCCACCGCGCCCGGCCAAGAACTTTGATTTTTATAGGACAGGCTCAAGGGCAAGGTCCTGCAGTTGGATCCAGGTGGGCCTGATACCTGGTGCATGGATGGATTTTGGCTCCCACTAGGTAGTTAGCACCTCTCCTCCCAGTTCACTATGTCAGCCTCTGGGTGTGAAGAACTGGCCATGGATTGTAGCTATGTGGACTGGAACTGTGTCACAGTGCTTCTTAAGGGACTACAGCTGAGGCCAAGGTCTGCGGGCCTGCCTCCATGGCCACAGCTGTGCGTGTCTCCCCCAGCTATCTCAATGGGCAGGACTGTTTCTAGATCATGGCTAAGAGGAGTCTGAGAGGGTTACCAGGTTGCTTCAGGATCTTCAGTGAGACCAAGTTCAATAGGCTATTTCCCGATCTTTAGTCAGGACCTTGGGTCCTCCAGTGTGCCACTAGGTGGGGGCCTGCTCTCTCACAATAGTCCCCCTTGGTCTTGGGTGCGGCTGCAGTTTTATAAACCCAACTGTTGGCAAGCACCATTCTACTTTCTGTGAGTTTACTACATAGACGTGGAATCATACACTCTCTGGCACTTTGTTAGTGTCTTCCTTCACTTATAATGTGGTCAAGATTTATTCTTACTGCACTGTGTTATAAAGGTTTCCTTGTTTGAGGCTGAATGATATTCCATTCTGTGCATATGCCTGTGTGCCACATTTTCTTTCTTTTTCTTTTCTCTTTCTTTTTTTTTTTTTGTAAGACACAGTCTCACTCTGTCACCCAGGCTAGAGTGCAGTGGTACAATCTTGGCTCACTGCAACCTTTGCCTCCCAGACTCAAGTGATCCTCCTGCGTCAGCCTCCTGAGTAGCTGGGACTACAGGCCCGCACTACCACACCTGGCTAATTTTTGTATTTTTGGTAGAGACGGAGTTTTGCCATGTTGCCCAGGCTTGTCTCAAGCGATCTGCCCCTCAGCCTCTCAAAGTGCTGGGATTACAGACAAGAGCCTCCGTGCCTGGCCATATGCCACATTTTCTTTCTTCATTCATTCATCAAAGGAAACCTGGGTTGCTTCGACCTTTCGGCTTTCAGGAATATTGCTGCAATAAACATGGGTGTGCAGATATGTTTTTCAGGTCCTGCTTTGCATATTTTGCAAATCCCAGAAGTGGGATTGCTATATCATATAATATTTCTGTTTGAGAAACCTCCATATGGCCGGGTGTGGTGGCTCACACCTGTAATCTCAGCACTTTGGGAGGCCGAGGCGGGCAGATCACCTGAGGTCAGAGATGGGGTTTTGCCATCTTTCCCCTTATATTTTCTTCTAAGGATTTTAGAGTTAGAGTTTATTTCTATTTATTTATTTATTTATTTATTTATTTATTTAGAGATGCAATCTCACTCTGTCACCCAGGCTGGAACGCAGTGGTGCGATCTCGGCTCACTGCAACCTCCACCTTGGCCAACATGGTGAAACCCCATCTCTATTGAAAATACAAAAAATTAGCCAGGCGTGGTGGCGGGTGCCTGTGGTCCCAGCTACTTGGGAGGCTGAGGCAGGAGAATGGCCTGAACTCAGGAGAATGGCCAGCGCTTGCAGTGAGCTGAGATCACGCCACTGCTCTCCAGCCTGGGCGACAGAGCGAGACTCTGTCTCAAAAAAAACAAAAACAAAAACAAAAACAAACAAACAAACAAAAAACACATCGTCTCAGCCCCAAAACTCCTTAGGCTGATAAGCAACTTCAGCAAAGTCTCAGGATCCAAAATCAATGTGCAAAAATCACAAGCATTCTATACACCAATAACAGACAGAGAGCCAAATCATGAA